GTCGGCTTTCCTGCTCCTCTGATGCTGCTTGGCCTGCTGTGTTCATCCAGCTCTATACCTTGTTATCTCTGTATTAATCCCATTTACATGTCAGCATCTGATGAACACAAGACCAGGCTTGGATCAGTCAGGCATTTGTGGCATCTGACTGTAATCATCAAGTACTTCCAAAGCAGTTACAAGATTGTTCTGTTTTCCAATGCTTGATTGATCATTTTCATCTTGAATGTATCACAACTCATCAGGAATGTGTGCACCAATTAAGCAAGCCCCACTGTTCCTTTAGCCGTCACAAATTTGTAACCGCCGTCAAACCAAGGGGATCAATTTGCCTGATGGATTGCTTTTTAGGACAGAAGTAATTCACAACAGGTTTCATCGTTAACAAGAAAGTAACTCCATTTATTGTCATCGATCTTATTCTTTAACAAGCTTCAGAAATGCATGCTAATGCCTAACTTATTGTTGTGCAACCCAACCTATACCCCCTTTAAAACCTCAATTAAGCACGTTCATTCACAAATAAGACAGACAAAAAGAGAGTTTGACATAATATTATGTGTGGAAAAATAAGGATAGGGTAAACAAATTCTGTATTTCAAGTCCACACCACGGGATTCTTTCTCTGTTCTTTTGCTTTTTAGTGATGGTGACACAATGGTCAATTTTAGACTCGGCCAATTGGTAGGCCCACGTCTTGTTTTAGAATTAATTGGTTTTAGAGCCCCTGAATATTGTCTTTTTTCACTGTTACTGAGAGATACTTACTGCATGCAGGCTCCTGGATGCCTCTGGGTAACCTGTCCTATAGGCCTCTGCAAATGCAACTTAAAAAGCATTTCTATAAAGCTGTTTCTAGGCAGTTTTTCTTGACTTAAAGGTTCTTAATTCCTGTATTGTATCCACTTCTGCTCCAAAAGGTATTGTGAAAAGCGTACGGCACACAATTCAACATGACCTTCTAGTTGCAAAATCTCTCCTAGTATTTTAAGCCACATATCAATGGTCAAGTTCCATTTTCCAGTTTGTAGCCCAAAATATGGTTCCTTGCAATTGCGAAAATATAAATAAGGAGGGAAGCTAAGTGAAAATGTGACTTGAAAGCACTTTAGTAATATCATGGATGCCAGGTTCAATTTTGTAGACTTGTGCACAGTTATTGGCATATTTAATTTCTGTCACTGTATTTTGATCACTGTTTGCAATTACTGAAGCTAAATCAAGCAGAAGTTGTAATGCCTGTTGAATAGGTCCCTGCTGTGTAGCACTGTACTATCATTAGGAAAAGACCATATCCATGTTGGAATCCTGAAAATAGTTTTGAGGCTATTCAGCAAATAAAATACAGTGGAAATAACTGAAAGTCATTGTAGATGTCAATGTCATGATTGACAAGTACCCTTATTTCTTTCAGAACTGCAGTTTTCTAGATTTATTTTCTAAAAGGTTTGAAGCTTGTGATTGCTTATGCTCAGTGACTTCAGCATTAAGCATTAAAAATAATTTGAATCTGTACTATGTATGCTATAAAATGTGCAAGTCAGAAAGGTAAGGTGTATCAAGGCAAGTGTGGGAATTAATGATTGCTAGTTGTAGAATTGTCAACAAGTACTTCTGGGATGACCTGATGGAGTAATACATCAAGTGGCAGGAGACTGTTCCATACAGACCAATTTTGATTTTCAGTATGGACTTTCTAGTCTTGGATCCTCTAGATAAGGAAGAGGCAAATCATCCCAAGTTGCCACTCCTGATAGGCAATCAGTCACTTCTGTTTGAAATTTGAACATTTGACTGTCCGATGTATCAAGGATTATGTTAGACTTATAATGCACAATCCAAATGCTTATTGCCATTTAACTTCTAGGCACATATTACTAGAATAGTGGTAATTTGGGTCTAATGCTGGAGGACTGCCGCTCGAAATAAATCAGTGCATTCAAGTTTAAAACTAAATTAGAAAATGCATGTACTTAGATTCTGTAATTTCAGTACTGTGCAACAAGTTTGAATAAAGTTTTTCAAATGTGTATTTTATGTAGTTAGTATGAATTTTCTTTTTGTGGAAACTTGAAATTTCTTGAAATAAGCAAAATGTCTACACAAATGCCTCTTTAAAGTTTCTGAAAAAATAAAATCTCAATTTCTGATTATTCTTCAACAAGCAAGTACAATGATTAGGTGAATAATAAAGGATGAATCATAAATCACTGTGTAATTTGCTTTTTTTCACGCTGCCTTAGGATAAAAATCAGAAGCTGATCAGGTAAATAATATAACAATATGCATGATGCTATTGAAACAGTTTTAAGATGAAATTTAAATTGTCATATTGTTACAGAGGTCATGCTTAATAGGAATGAAAGGTGCAAATGAAGGGGTATTATAGAGTGACCACAGCACTGCTTTAACTTGCCTAGATGAGCAGAGCTCAAACAACACAGACGCTTAACACCATCCAAGATAAAGCAGCCTGCTTGTCACCACATCCACAAACATACACTCTCTCCACCTGCAATACTCAGCAGTAGCAGTGTCTACCATCTGCAAGATACATTGCATAGATTCACTAAGGGTCCACAGACAGCACTTCCAAACCTACAACCACCCTCGAAAGGATGAGGGCAGTAGATACATGGGGATACCACTGTCTGCAAGTGTCCCTCCAAGCCACTCAACATTTCACTGTTCCTTTGATGATTACGGGTCAAAATCCTGGAACTCCTTCCTTAACAGCATTGTAGGTCTACCTGCACCAAGTAGATTTCGGAGGTTCAAGAGGGCAGTACACCACCCCCTTCTTGAGAGCACTAGTGATGAGCATGCAATGCCTGACATCCCATGATTTGAACAAAAAAAATTTGAAATGTTTTGATGTTTGAATCCCTGCTAACTGCCGTAAATAGGCTTTAGAGTCCACTTTACATGTAGAGCTGCATGTGGTGTGTAGTAATTGATTGCTGTTGCACCAAAAGCAGCTCTAATGTTTGCAATTGTGTTGCGCCACCCCGTTGTGTGACTGTTCAGATCCTTAGCCAATTGCTCTACTTCAGGCAACCTACATGTTTGAAGGCATTGGAGCCATTGTGTCCTCTTTACAAAAGGAAGTTCTTGGCTTCTGTTTAAAAACACCAATCTGAATGAGATCTGTCCCTCTAAACAGGAGAAGGAATGTTTGAAAATGTCTGCTCTGTTTAGTTAAACTAGCCCCCTTGGAATTCCTGTGCTTAAAAGTTAACAATGAAGTTTGCTGATTCTGTAACCGTGCTGTTATTTGTTTTGTAGCACTGAAAGAAAAAAAACAAAACTTGATTATAAATCCAAATTCCCAATATAGTTGGAGTAAAGATTAGAAAAGTTTATCTTCCTTCTTACTGTCTTTTAAATCCACAACTTCCACTTGGGTACCATGCTGAGTGCGTGTACTGCAGAAAAATAAATCTAGCTGATCTTGTCTTTTTTTGAAAAAGTGTTCTCTTTGAAGTAATAGGCTAATATATTTTGCTTTTATGTAATATTTCAATTAAACAAGAAGGTCCCCAAATTTACTTAGGGCAGCAACAATGAATACCAGTTTAATTCATTTACCGGCTGTGTTCACACTTGAAATTTTACTTGTAGGTACCTTGTTTCTTCCTTTTATTTGTAACACCTAAAGGAGTTGAAATGCAAGTGCCTTCAGTTTACAGTGTGCATAATGGGATTTATTGTATGTTGTATAAATTTCACTTAGAGTTTTTTCCAGCTGTGCTAGAATAAATTTTGTTTCAATTTTATGCTTACAAGTATTTACAGGTTCAACGTTTTTACCTTGACATGCTTGTGAATGCTACTGCTATGTTGTGTTTGCATATTGGTTGCACAGAAACCAGTTCAGATTTTATGCATTAATAAGAACAAAAAATGAGATTCTGTCTTAATTTTCTGGGTTAATATTCCAGCCCCCTCAAATATGTTGTTGATCTGAACTGAAGACAACTTTTGTTTTTAACAACTCAATTAGCATTTTACATCAGGCACAATTTCAAAAATGTTCTAATAGAGCTGCTTTTTAATTGTTTGTATACTTGCTGTTCTCTTGTGGGTTCTGATGAGTGTTTGTGTGACCTCCCTTTCATCCAAGCCATCTGACTCCAAATATATTGAACTCTCGAGCTTCAAACCTTTTGGACATCTCCAGTGCCCAAGTTAATTTCTTTAAAAACAAAATTAAATCAATTATGTACAAGTTTCTTCCATGTGCAATGAAAAACTGTCATAAATTTGTAATTTTATTTCAAGGTCCTTGATTCAACATCACTCAGCTTTGGGACAAGAGTGAAGTGGTTTGCAATTTGCTTTATCGTTGGAGTTTGCTTTTCAATTCTTGTAAGTAAATGCTTTTCTGTTATTTTTAATTACAGTCATAGCGCTGTACAGCATGGAAAGAGGCCCTTCAGTCCAACTTGTCCATGCCAACCAATAGCCTAAATTAATCTAGTCTCATTTGCCAGCATTTGGCCCGTATCCCTCTAAACCTTTTCATGTTCATATACGCATCCAGATGCCTTTTAAATGTTGTGATTGTACCAGCCGCCTCCACTTCCTCTGGTAGCTCCATTCCATATATGCACCACCCTTTGTGTGAAAATATTGCCCCTTGGGTGCCTTTTAAATTTTTTCCCATCTTACCTTCAACCTATGCTGCCTAGTTTTGGACTCCCCTACCTTGGGAAGAAGACCTTGTCCAATCACCCTATCCATGCCCCTATTGATTTGATAAACCTCTGTAAGGTTGCCCCTGAGCCTCTGGCACTCTGGGGAAAATAGCCCCAGCCTATTCAGCCTCTCCCTGTAGCTCAAACCCTCCAGCCCGGAAAACATCCTTGTAAATCTTTTCTGAACCCTTTCAAGTTTCACAACATCTTTGCTGTTTAGCAGGAAGACCAGAATTAAATGCAGTATTCCAAAAGTGGCCTAACCAATATCCTGTGCAGTGGCAACATGACCTCCCACCTCCTAAGCTCAATGCATTGATCAATAAAGGCAAGTATCAAATGCATTTTTCACTATCCTGTCTGCCTGTGATTCCACTTTCAAGAAACTATCAACCTGCTATCCAAGATCACTTTGTTCAGCAACACTCCCCAGGATTGAGTGTATAAGTCCTGCCGTTATTTGCAAAATGCAGCGTCTCACATTTATCTAAATTAAACTCCATCTGCCACTCTTCGGCCCATTGACTCATCTGATCAAGGTCCCATTGTACTCTGAGGTAACCATTTGCTGTCCACTGAACCTCCAATTTTGGTGTGATCTGCAAAATTCTAAAGCTAAAATGTGAAGAAGCACTTTTTCCAGTGTCAAAATGTCATAGTATTAGAATTATCTGGTTTTCCCCTGGTTCCCCTAACAATTAATGTAGTGAGGACTTCCATGAAAATTATGAAGATTCTAACTTTGAGTTCAATTAGCCTCAATCACTGGGGGAAAAAAATCCTGTGTTGAATTCCTGCTCCTGACTATGCAGTGAGCCCTGGAGGTGTGTATATGCCGATGTTAGGTCAGCTCAGGATCTGGTTTTGGTAATCCACCAGTTAATCAACCTGGCCGGATGACAGTTTTTATCATTGCTTTGATGTAAGAAAGGGTTTGGGGAGACAATTGGAAGCAGCTGACAGCAGTAAAATCTCACATAGGAAATCGTTAGGATGTATATTTGTCTTTATCATGATTCAATGGTTTTAATGTAATGGATAATGTACATTTTATACCCTTTTATGTCTAGTGCTGTCACAGGGCATTTGAACCAAAACATTCTTGTAAAAATTTCAAATAATCCAATATGTTTTGAATGCACCCAATTTGAGTTTATCCTCAGCAGAAAACTTTGTGACTGCCCAAATTATTAAGCATGAATTAAATAGTGACTTTAACATAAGAGTCTGTGGTACTTTATAGGAACAAGGCACGACATAGGATACATAATGGGACATGACACAAAGGTCAGGAATATTTGGTAAAATAAGAATCTAAACTGGTTGGAGAAGCAAAATGGTCTTGGAGCGCAATCGTACAAATCATTTACAACAGTGTTGAAGGTTCATGTGGGCAAAGAAAAGTAAGCTGAGCATGAGTGTTTAAGATCTAGTTTTGTAGAAATTACAAAAAAAAACTTCAGCAGAACCTCTTATCAGGCCTTGATTAGACCACACTTAACATTACTATGTACTGTTCCGGTTGCCATTTACAAGATGGATATAAAGACAGTGGAAGAGTAATAGAAAGGACTTGCAAATGTGACACCAGAAATGTGAGGTTACACCTGTCAAGGTTACTGGGCCTCTGTTTTTCTTTAAAATAAGGCTAAGGGTGATCTAATAAATTCTTGAAATGATTTTGTTATATTGTACAAAGATTCTTTGTTTGTTGGAAAGATCAAAACTAGACGCCATCACATAATATAAGATTGTTTCCAAGGAATCATAGGGAATTCAGGAAAAACCTTTCTTTAGTGTAAGTAATTTTGTTCTTTCTAGTTCCATTACAAACGGGAATATTAACTATGTAAAGCTATCATGTTATGATTACACTTGACCTTTTTGATGGTGTTGACGTATCTCCACAACGTGCAGGGTGACTATTATCTAGACAATTTCATTGAGGAGCTTATATTGGAATGAAATTAACAGGCTGTCACATGCTAGATTTTTTAAATATATCAATAGATTAATAATTAAAGGACAAAAGTCATGGTTGTTTGTGAAGCAGATAGGTTGGTTGAACGTTAGATTTCAGACTAAGGTGCTTGGTGCTGCAAGGCTGTAGGAGAATTGATTGCACTAGCCTCTCTAGCCAGAATGTTTGGAACCAAGTTATTGTTGAATTTCAAAATTTTCTGTGCTAAAGAATGATGTTAGAATACATGTGTGCGGGGTTAAAACATGCACCCGAAACATAAACAGTGACAATTTACAAAACAATGGTTTTATTTGTCCAAATATTGAATCTTCCATGTTTCAAAAGTACTTCATGGTACTAAAATGCTAATTAGCATATTATGCCATAAAAGGAAGATAAAGACTTAAGAGGATAGATTGTTGGCTCCATAATAGAAGGTATCCTACCCACAAAAATATAATAGGTCCATAAGAAAAAGAAGCCAAATTAGGCCATTTGGCCCATCTTATCTGCTCTACCATTTGATTATGGCTGATATTTCTCAACCCCATTTTCCTGCCTTCTCCTCGTAACCTTTGATCCCTTTACTAATCATGAACCTATCTATCCCTGTCCTAAAAACTCAATGAGCTGGGCTCCAAGCCCTTCTGCAGCAATGAGTTCCACAGATTTATCACCCTCTGACTGAAAAAATTCCTCCTCATCTCATTTCTAAAGGATCGTCCCACCAGTCTGAGGCTGTGCTCTCAGGTTCTGGTCTCTCCTACTGTTGGAAACATCTTCTTCATGTCCACACTAAACAGGCTTCTCAGTATTCTGTAAATATTGATAGAATTCCCAGCCACCCCCCCCCCCTCCCCCCACCACCACCACCACGCGCACATACACACCCTCCTAAACTCAATATTGTACGGACCTAGAGTCCTCAACTGCTCATATGACAAGCCCTTCACCTCTGGGGTCATTCTTGTAAACCTCCTCTGGAACCCCTCCATTGCCAGCACATCCTCTTTTAGATATGGGGCCTAAATGCAGTCTGATCAGAGTCTTGTGAAGCTTCAGCAGGATATCTTTACTCTTGTATGCTAGCTCTCGCAAAATGAATGCTAACATTGCATTTGCCTTCATAACTGGCAACTGTGCCTGCATGTCAACCTTGAGGGAATCTTGAACTAGGACTGCCATATCCTTTTGTGCTTCAGAATTCCGAAGGGTTTCCTGCGTTTAGAAAATTGTCTATGCTTCTGTTTTTCCTACCAAACTGCACAACCCCACACTTTTCCAAATTGTGTTCAATCTGTTCCTTCTTGGCCCACTGTCTAAGTCTGTCCAAGTCCTTCTGCAGCCTCCCTGCCTCCTCAACACCATCTGTCACCCCAGCTATCTTTTGTGTCAACTGCAGAGCTAGCAACAATACCCACAGTTCCTTTGTCCAGATTGTGAATATATGCCATGAATAGTTGTGGTCCCAACACTGACCCATGCAGAACTCCACTTGTCACCATCTGCCATCGTAAAAAACCCTCTTTATCCCCACTTTCTGCTATGTAGCTAATCTTTTATCCATGTCAGTACCTTGTCTCTACTATTATAGCCTCTTGTCTCATTTAGCAGCCTCCTGTGCAGCATCTTGTCAAAGGCCTTCAGGGAAATCCAAATATATCATGTGTGCTGACTCTCCTTTGTCTAACTTGCTAGTTACCTCCAAAGAATTGTGACAGATTTGTCAGATGTGATCTCTCTTTGATAAAGCCAAGCTCACCTAGTCCTATTTTACCATGCTCTTCCAAGTACTCTGCAATCTCATCCTCAATTGTAGATTCTTAAAATCTTACCAACAACAGTCAGGCTAACCAACCTATAAATTTCTTGTCTTCTGCCTCCTTCCCTTCTTACATAGAAGTATTACATTAGCCACTCCTCTGGGGCCCTCCCTGATTCCATTGATTCCTAAAGATTGGCACCAATGCCTCCGCAATCTCTTCAGCTATCTCCTTCAGACCCTAGGGTGCAGTCTATCTGGTCTGGGTAATTTATCCTCTTTCAAACCATTTAGCTTCCCCAACACCATCTCCTTGGTGAGTATCATGGCCATCACCACTGCCCCCCGATTCTGTAGAAATTCTGATATGCTACTGATGTCTTTCACCATAAAGACTGATGCAAAATACCTATGCAGTTACTTCACCATTTCTTTGTTCCCCATTAATATTTCACCAGTCTCATTTTTCAGTTGTCCATTGTTTACTTCTGCATTTCTCTCTTACCTTTCAGGAAAAAAAGAAGTTGTGTTCTTCTTTTACATTATTAGCTAGCTTACCCTCCTATTTCATCATCTTCCCCTTTATTGCACTTTTAGTTATCCTCTGGTTTTAAAAGGCCTCCCAATCCTCTGGTTTCACACTAATTTGCACCATGTTGTATGTTTTTTTTCCTTTTGCTTTTACTTTTATTTTTCTAATTAACCTGTTCAGAGGTGTTATTACACACGTCTAGAACAGGTGGGACTTGAACCCAGGTCCAAGGGGTAGGGACACTACAACTGTGGTGACCCCATATAGAATCGTGGATATCTGGGAGTGAGTTACAGGCTGGAACTTGAAGGGTTCTGTGAGGTTTATATATGGAATAATGCACCCAGGAAGGAGTTAGTAAAGTTAATTCACATGGGATCTAGCCAATTGGATACAAAATTCTCTTGAAGGTGGTGATGGTAGAAGATTGTTTTTTTGGACTAGAGGCCTGTGACCAGTGGTGTGCTACAAGGATCGGTGCTGGGTCCACTGCTTTTTGTCATTTATATAAATGATTTGGATGTGAATATAGGAGGTATGATTAGTAATGACACCAAAATTGGTGGTGTAGTGGATGGTGAAGAGGGTTATCTTGGAGTACAATGGCCTTGATCAGATGGGCCAAGGAGTGGCAGATGGAGTTTAATGTAGTTAAATGTGACGTATTGCATTTTGGTAAGGTAAATTAGGGCAGGACTTATACAGTCAATGATAGGGCCCTGGGGAGTGTTGTTAATAAACGAACATAGGCTACAGGTGCATATTTCCTTGAAAACCGAGTCACAGGTAGACAGGGGCATGAACAAAGTATTTGGTAAGCTTGCCTTCATTGGTTAGTGCGTTGAGTGTAGGAGTTGGGATGTCATTTGCAACTGTACAGGACATTAGTTGGGCCACTTGTGGAATACGGTGTTCATTCTGCTAGGGAAGATGTTGTTAAACTTGAAAGAGATCAGAAAAGACTTAGAAGAATGTTGTTGGGGTTGGAGTGTTTTTAATTACAGCGAGAGGCTGAATGGATGGGGCCTGTTTCCCCGGAAGGTCTACGTCTGAGGGGTGACCTTTTATAGACGTTTATAAAATCATGAGGGGCATGGATAGGGTGAATAGCCAAGGTCTTTACCCCGGGGTGAGGGAGTCTAACACTAGAGGGCATAAGTTTAGGATGAGAGGGGAAAGATCTAGAAGGGATTAAGGGGCAACTTTTTCACACAGCGGGTGGTGCGTGTATGGAATGAGCTGCCAGAGGATGTGGTGGAGGCGAGTACAATTATACCATTTAAAAGGCATCTGGATGGGAACTTGAATAGGATGTGTTGAGAGAAATATGGGCTACATACTGGCAAATGGGACTAGATCAGTTGGACCGAAGGGTCTGTTACCATGCTGTATAACTGTGACCCTATAAGTTGCTAGTAAATTGCACATCAGTAATGGCATATATTATTCAGTCACCGTTATTTTTTCAGCCAAATGTCCTAATTTTTTTGTTGAATACAAACCTATGCACAGGAATTTAAAAAATACCAAATGAAGGTGAAGAACGACAAAAACAAAATAAAATGACTCTTAAATATTATTCCACTTTCTTTCAAACGTGTATTGAAAGTCCTTTTATGAAAGTATTAGTGAATTTCACACGGGCATCAAGAGTATTACTGCAGCTTTAATGATTTATGATAAAATGGTAGCAGTTACTCTTTGTTTTTTGTTATTCCTTCAGGGAACAGCTTTTCTGTGGCTTCCAGGTGGAATCAAATTATTTGCAGTGTTTTATACATTAGGAAATATTGCTGCTCTTGCCAGGTAAGTGTCTACCACCTCAACAGCAAAAGCATCGTTCACCTGCTTAATGTTTTGTGCTTGAGAGATCTGCTTCTCCTTCATGTTTCAAGTTTTCACCAGTTTCTATCGTCTTTGTTTCTCAATTGTTTCTGACAATGCTTATAATAGAAATTGTTTGGATTAAAAGACACGAGTTAATTGTGACTATGAAATTTTTTTAAAGTAGTTTAAAATCATACCTTCTAACCTTCTATGTTGAACTAAAACATTAGTAGCGTGTGCTAAATGCAGCAGTACTAAATTGCAAAGAGTCCTATATTGGTACCTCATCCAAGCTCTGTAAAGGATAAGTGAACATAACTGCCTAGATTAGATATCTTCCACATTTACTTGTACTTGATTGGGTTTGTTAGTGAGTGCTTTGTGTTATGATGATTGACCACTTGCCATACCCACTCATTCTGTTTTTTTTTCTCTTTGTTAATTGCAAGTGAGTCTTTTGTTTCTTATCTCAATGTACAATACCTAACAATTATCAGTAAAACCTATCATTCTTTAACCCTTCTAATTTTTGGTGCATTAAATGCTATTCATTTTGGGGAAGATGTAACCCCTTGCTCCACAAGTGCAACATGAAGCACACTGCAAATGGGGGCATTATGCTGTCCAAGTCAGTCTATCACCCACATATTGAACGGCCCTGAGAGATCTGTTTCTCGTGACATCACAGCCACTTACACTCTGTCAGCTGACGTTACTGATTGGATCTTGAACCTCAGCATTGAGCTATAACTCTTTTCCCATGCATGCAAACAAAAAAAGTCTTATTGTTATTTTCCATACAGTTTGCTGTCACCTTACAAATCATACCACAAAATAACTTTTAAGAACAAAATTTGAGCAGGATGTGTATATTCTGTATGACAAAATACATGACGGTTGTTTCATTATATAATCACTTATGCAATAGTAAAATATAAATAGATGAAAATGAATTTGTCTGCCTCAATCCCTCAAATGGCTTAAATACTGATTTGATTGATAAAACCACTTGGGACAATTTGACAGTAAATTTTAGATCATGATAAATGGCAGTACTCTATGTATATGTCCACCAGTCCTTATAAGGTACAAATAGATAACATGGTCAAGAAGGCACACGGGATACTCACCTTTTTATTTGCCGAAGCATTGATTTTAAGAGCAGGGAGGTGATGTTGAAACTGTGTAAAATGTTGGTTACATCACAACTAGAGTATTGTGTGCAATTCTGGAACCCACATTATAGGACGTATGTGTTCACACTGTAGATGTTGAAGTGGAGATTTAGCAGCATTTTGCCTGGGCTGGAGAGTTTTGAATGAAGTTATGAATTGGTCACATTGGTGCTTTCCTTGGAGCAGAGAGACTGAAGGGTCACATGATTGAGATATATAAAATTGAGAGTTCTAGATAGGCTAAATAGGAAGAAACTTTTCCTTTTGAGGGACCAGTGTCCAAGGGGTGTAGATTTAAGGTGAGAGCCAGGAGAGGGGATCTGAGGAAAAACGTCTTCACCTAGAGGATGATGGGAATCTGGAACACTCCGTCTATAAGAGTGGTAGAGACAGAAACTCTCATGACATTTATGAAGTAGTTAGTTGTACACGTGATGCCAAGACATGCAAGGCTATGGGCCACTTATTGAAATAGTTGGATATTTGTTTTTGACTGGCACACTCAATGGGCCAAAGGGCCTTGTGTGCACTAGACCTCTACAACTAGATCTCTGACAATAAACGGAAATGGAGTATAATCAGTAACAAACAGCAATTCGTTACAAGCTCGATGCACCCACAGGATTCACACTGCCAGAAGCAACTCTTCAGCTGCACACCATGTTGGTTTCTCTCTTTTACGTGAAGCATTGCCCACCAATAGTTCAGTTCATAATAGCTTAACCAACAGCGCATTCAACTGATTATGTTCCCTGGCAGCTTTGCAAATTGAAATCCAGTCCAAGACTTCAAAACGTATGAATCAAGAATTGTCAGAAGTGCTGAACTTTTTGAGATATCCAACTAGGTGCAGTATAGCGCCCTCAGGTGGATGTAAAAGAACCCACACCATTTGAAGATGAGTAGAGATATTTTCCCAGTGGGTTAGGCCTTCAGCCAACATCTAAAAGTACTGAAACAGAAGTTTCTGGAAAACCTCTGCAGGCCTTGCAACATCTGTGAAGAAGAAAAGTCAGAGTTAATGTTTCAGGTCCGGTGACCCTTCCTCACCAGACCTGAAATGTTAACTCTGATATTTTTTTTCTTCACTGATGTTGCCAGACCTGCTGAGCTTTTCCAGAAACTTCTGTTTTTGTGCCTGATTTACAGCATCCACAGTTTGTTTCAGTTTTTATCTAAAAGTACTAAGTTGCTCATTAATCTAATTGTTTGTGAAAGTTAATTTGTTAATTCTTTTCCTGAATTCAATTGTCTACTCTTCAAAGCTATTAATTGTTGTAAAGTGCCTTGGGATGCTCCAGGTTTCTGAAAGAAACTGAAATTGGGTTCTTTCTTTAATTGTAAGTGTGAATAGTAAATTGTAATATGCTTTAGCCACAACTAGTGCAGACTTTCTGTAACTAGTTTACTTTCTCCTCACTGTTTTTCCTGCCCAAAACTTGAATTGCCCACTTCTTCTGCTTTTATCACAGCATTTTAAATTTTGAGTGGAATGTAATTCATGTCTGTATGGGGCTGGTAACAAGTGAAATCAGAAAACGATTAAATAAGTTTTGCAAAGAAGGGTGACCAGTGTTAAACGTCATTGAAGTTTTGATTCGTCATGGTGTCCCTTTAAGCAGCAATCATGTGTTTTTGTCTCTGAATAGTTAATTTGGTTATTAGTTCCAGAAGGGTAAGGGGGTTGTGGTGGGTTTATGGTTCTGTTTGTAGTCTGAAGAAATAATTATGAACAAGTAAATCACGTCTGTTCAAGGAAAAGTTTTGTATCTTGGTATGGGCTTCCCTTCAACACTGTATACAATATTGTCACCTTATTTCAGGAAGGATGTAAATACATTGGAAGCAGGTCAGAGAATGTTCACTGGACTACCACCTGGAGTAGTCAGGTGGCCTTGTGAGGGAAAAGTTGGACAGGCTGGGCTTGCATCTGTTGGAGTTTGGAAGAGTAAAGTGTGACTTGTTTGAAACGCAAGATCCTGAAGGGTCTTGACGGAGATGTGGAGTGGATGTTTCATCTTGGGAGAATCTCAAATTAGGAGTCATAGTTAAAAAATACAATGGGTCACCCATTGATAACAGATATGAAGTATTTTTTTTATCCTCAAGATCCAGCATCTTGGGAACTCTTCCTGCAAAGGCAGTGGAAGTAGAGTTTTGCTTTTAAGGCAGAGGTAGATAGATTGTTGTTAAACAGAGGGGTGAAAGGTTATAAGGATAGACAAGCACATGACTTCGAGGTTGCAGTTACATCAGCTATCATCTTTTAGTGGGGCAGACTTGAGCAGAAATAAGCCATTTGCCCCATAGCGTTTGCTCTGCCAGTCAGTAAGATCAGGACTGATGTGATAATCTTCCAACTCCTTTCCTGCCTTTTTCCCATAACCCTTGATCTCCTTATTGATTAAATATCTGTCCATCTTGGCCTTGGATATATGTAACAACCCAAACTCGACAGCCCTCTACAGTAAAGAATTACATAAATTGACTAGCTTCTGAGAGAAGAAATACTTCCTCATCTCTTCCATTCTTCGTTTCAAAGTGCATAATCTCACATGTTCCCACATTATACTCCCCATCCACCAAGCTTTCACCCACCACACATCCAACCAGTCCATTTTCCCTTGGACTCCCTGCAGCAACAGCAGCATCACTATCCACCCTCCTACCCATTTTTGTCATCTGCAAACTTAGCAATAATACACTGACTTCTCTCATCCAAGTCAACAATGTATATTGCAAATTGTTGTAGTCCAGCACTGAGCCCCTTTGACTATTTTAAAAATTGTACGTCATCAAAAGTTTTATTTAAAAACTGTACTGTTGTCTTTTCCTAAACTGTGTCAAAACCATGGTGAGTATTATAACTGGAATGGTAGAGAGGGTATTTTAAACTAAATAAAATGTTCGGGCAAGGGATCAAATTTGGGAAGATGTGATAAACTAAATGAAGAAGACAAGGGAAATGATCATCAAAGTATTGTTGGAAGGGGACAGAGTGTACAAGTTTAACAATAAACCAGATAGTCATTTCAAAAACAGTAAAAAGACAGAGCTGAAAACTCTATCTGAAGGCATGTGGCACTTCTAATAGATGAATTGACACTAAAAATAGAAAAATAAATGTATGATCTGATAGTAATTCATGTTCAAGGGTGCATAACATTTCAGAAGAGCAGAAAGCTAGGAAAAGGTGGAGGATAACTCTTAATTGAGGATGATGTTGGGAACAATCAAGATGACCTTAGTTCTGGAGGTCAGGATATAGAATCAGATTGGGTAGAGATAAGAACTAGTATTGGTCAGAAGTCAGTGTGGCAATGCTTTTAGGAACCCTGACAGCAATCAAGCTGTCCAGCTAGGTTTGCTGGAGGAAATAATGGGGAATTCTGAGTAAAGTGTGTCAATAATCATGGGTGATTTTTTTATCTGCATATAGATTGGATTAATCAGATTGACAAGAGTAACCTGGATGATGAGTTCGTAGGAGACAGTTTGGGGCAATATATTCTGGACCCAACCAAAAGAAAGTGCATACCAGATCCGATAAGGTGCAATGAGATGGGATTAATTAATCTCATAATGAAAACATCTCCATAGCAATGATCATAATATGACTGAATTCCATATTCAGTTTGAGGGAGAGAAGCAGCCCGAAGATCAGTATATTAAATTTAAATACCAGCAATTATGAGGGAATGAAGGCAAAGCTTGTTTGAGTGAACTGGGAAATTAAGGGGTGGGTCTGCCACTACATCTCTACTGACATTTTAAGGATACGTTTTAGAATACTTGGAAGACCTA